TTTTGACTCATTCTTTTTGCCATTTGTAACCTGGGCTGATTGGAGAGTTGATTCTGCCTTGTGGGAATTTGAACCTCCCTATGTTTCTTCCCACCTCAGTTATTCTGTGGGTCTATCAATATGTATAAATTCTAAAAGCTTTACTCAAGGCCATCCTCAGAAGTAGAGGAATCAGGTCACAGTGGGAAACTGCATATGGTCTTCTGCATCTATTATCATTATCCATCTGCCTCCATTCCTGCCCCTTCAGGTGCTCCTGCTATTTCTAGCAGACCACTTTATTCTGCTGCATTTATTAGCTTTAAAAAGTCTTAACTATACAGTGTTCCTTCCTCTGGGAAAAAGTTATTTGAAGGTACCTTCAAACAATACCATGTTTCTCCAAGCAAACTTACTTGTCTTTCTCTGCAGACTCCTTGCATGAAGCAATTAAGTCTTAATGGATTTCATTCAGTGTGATGGTATCTCCTCTGTAGACGCCAGTCTATGGAGAAGCAAAATGTTAAGTTCCTTGGCAACCTCATGTTCACACAGATCAGTTGTGTAATTATGTGTGTCAGATGCAATTAAAAGAACATTCTCAGTCCATGACATTGCAGTACAGCTGACTGCTTCACAACGATGCTTCAATTGCTCACTGGCAGCTATGGAGACTTTATTTTAATGTATATTTATACACCAAATGTGAGCAGGCATTCAGTCCTCAGGAGCAACAAAGATCTTCCCAGTTTTTGTAGAGGGATCCAAGAAATCAAACTTCTTGGTGAATAATGTTGTTTCAGAGAAACCATTGCATTTTCTTATTCTGTTATTTGAGGAGGCACCAGCTTGTGCTTGTGGGAAGCTGAATGTAATACCAGGGAATTGTAAGAAAGGTGATGCAAATACAGATATCCTAGAAGCACTTAAGAGAACACTGTTATGATGCTCTAGCCCTTTGAAACACATTTGGTTTTACCTATGTGCCCCAAGCTTTTGCTTCCTTTGTTTGTGTGGAACCTGATCAGCTGCAGAGCATCCCCCTGGTGCTCCAACTCCCATGATCTTCCAGGGCAGCTGAGAGCAGATGCTGCTTTATTAAAGTACTTGCTTTGCACACAGGTGCCCATGTGCTTTGCAAACCACAGTTCACTCCAGCTCTGGAAGTGAGCACTAATCTGTCCCAGAAGCATGTATTGTTTCAATGTCAGTGTCGAAACATGTGCTAGAGAATGTTTTTTTAGTTTTACAAACAAAATCCAGACCCCAAACAAACCCTAATGGCAGTCTTTGCGGTTGGGCTCCCTCTCCAGCAGAACAAGTGACAACTTGACACATTCTGCTCAAGACACACAAGCACTGTCTTGGCCAACACCACATTCCAGCTGGGCCTTTTCACCCTCTCCATAAAGTCTCTCACTGTTAGTGTTGTGTTTGGATCTGGTTATTTCTTTGTGGACAAGGAGTTTTGCAAGTGTGAGATCTTCAGATGGCTGAGCTTCTCCATCGTGCAGTCTTTCTGCTGGCGCAGTGAGGAATGTAAAGTCAGCAGCTTTATGTTGGCTTTCAAGGAGCGAGGATGCATTATGACCCTTTTTTTGTAACCTAGTGTTTGGCTGTGCCAAGGTGTCGCGTTCACTCAAGGTGTGCTTCACTCTGAAACACTTTGGATACTCTCCTGGCCAATAAGACCCATGTTTGAGCAGACTGATTCAATAAATGGCATTTTTAACCTTGTTATGTACACAGAGTGAATGTTAAATAGTGCCTGTTTATCAAATCCTTGCACCTCTGCCTGTGACCCTGTGAACTATTGACAGAGGGATGTCCCTGGTGATGTAAGACACAGTGAGTTGGATGAGGATGGCAGTGTGTAACCCTAAGAGGGACCCCGGAGGGATATTCCATTAAAGCATGTGAGGGATTCAAGTGCTATGGGAAAGAGTTGGGCAGGGGGAGGCACTAGCTACTGTGTCTGAAGAGACATCTTTCCCCAGCAACTGGGGGAACGCTGTACTGACCCAAAGTGAAATTAGTGGCTGCATCAATTAAACCATTCCACTGATGTATTGACCCACATGTATTTGTCTGGCTCCGTGCTGGGGCTGGGTAAGTGGGAAGACACAGCAGACAGCCTGAAAACTGGGGCTTGCGAAGAACCGAGCATCAGCAACTCCAAGTTCTCTTGTTTCAACATTGTTACGAGCTTAAAGCCAAGACCCGCGTGACTAATCCTGTCTCGGAAGTGCAGTTGCTGTGGTTATACAACCAGAAACTTTGCAGGCGTTTCCTTGGATTGCGCAGTCCCTGCTCCCATCTCCCCCCTCAGCGTGTGCTCTTGGCACTGCAGGTTTCAGAAGCGTCTGCCAGAGAGGTACAAGCTTAGCTCTTGAATTAAACAGACGAGTTTTTTTCTTTCTCTGAATTTTAAGGAAATAGACGCTGATTATTTTGGGGTGTACAGAAAATATATCTACTTTGATGTATGTACTGTAAATTTCTAATTTATCACTGTAAAAAAACCAAAACAACTTTGCTATTTAATTTTTATATCAAAATAAAACTTTAACCTCTGTGGATAACTAAAGAATTCCTGGCAGCCTTCACATTTTTGATGAGTTTGTTTCTTAAATAGGCTTCAGCGTTGTTGGAAGTGCTTTTTTCCCCCTGAAGGAAGAAGGACTGAAATGCTCATGCTTTGGTGAAAGGATGCTTTGAATGGGTTAATCCAGCATGGTTTGGATGTATTAACTGAGAACAAGACATTGTTGGGCAAGAGTCAAAGTATGTTCACGTTTCTGCACATGGGGTGGACAGAAACCCTTTCAGAGACAGCACACACGTCCTGGGTGCTGGCTGGGGCTGCAGCTGGAGCTTTGCTGCTGTGGGAGCATGTCTTCAAATCCCAGCTGGAAGGCACTGCTGTGAGGTAGCTCCTGAGAAGAGCAGCACCTCCTGAAAGGCTCCTTTTCTTTCAGGTGTCATGGAATACATACATCCAAAGCGTGAGCATTCCCATACGGAGCATACAGTGCAGGAGGGCAGTGTCACCACCGGTCTGTTCAGTATATGGGAACTATTAGTGGCTTTTGGAAGGGAAAAATCATCTTAGTAACCTGCTTGAAATGAGTTCGTTCCTGTGGGTGATTTCAGCCCTTCAGAGGAGAGATTCAGTTGAATGTCTACATTTTCTAGCAACGGTTTGCTACAAACTTGAGCTTATTCATGCTCTACTTTTCATTCCTGTTTGTAATTTCTGTTCACAGTTGTGATGTATGGGGACAGCAAGGAATTCCTTTTTGTGTGCATCCCTCACCAGTTTCTTTTGACACTGATAGAACAGCATGCAATCTTAATTGTTTAAACCCACTTAATTGTCTCCATCATGAAACAATCCGTGTGTGGGATTATTTAATTAGCAGAATGTAATTCTAGTAAGAGCCTAAATCAGACTAGAGTGGATAATAGTGAGGGTGTGCTATAAAAAAGAGTAGCAACTATCACCTGTGTATCTGTAGCTAATCAAGTTTTGAAGAGCAGCATCTAAAACTGGTAATTATGAGGGATTTGCTCATGCCTTTGGCAGCTCATCATTGCAATGTTTTCAGGCTGATGATTAATGTGATCTCTCAAACTTATCCTAATGAGTCTGTAATAAAGCTACTGTTAACTGTAACAAACATAAAAGAGCTTCTGGGGGAAGGAGCAGGATCTCCTTCTTGTTCATACCACCTGAAAATCTCAGGTGTGGCATTCAAGATGGTGTTGGCTGCTCCAGGTCTCTCTCATGGGTGTTAGCCTTCACACAGATCCCTCACATCAGGTGTCTCAGAGCATCACCTATGAAGTGACCGTGGATTGCTGGAGTGGCTGTGAATGGTGAGCAAGCTCCCCAAGCCACAGAGATGACAAATCCACTCAGGTTTGCCCGAGTATCTTGAGGGAAGTATCTGTGTGCAATGCTCACAAACAGTTAGCCTTTATGAGGACTAATTTTTGTGGTTGTTTAGATATTTAGGCTTGGGGGTTTTTACTTGGTTGTTTTTTCTTTTTTTTTCTTTTTCTTTTTTTTTTTTTTTATAACATTGTCTTTAAAGAAAGCAAATGTTAGGGAGTTTGTAGAGAAGGAGGCCAGAGTTGTGCTGCCAGCAATCAGGAGCAGCTTAAGCTCCAGTAATGTGAAAATATGGTATCATCAAGTCCCTGGCTTCAGTGGTGGTTTCCACCACACCTCCTCCATCCTCAGCCACTCATTCCCATAATGGTGCCACATTTCAGCTCCTCCTTCACTTTGCCAGTACAACTACCTGTGGTATGGTGCAGGCATCATCCTGCAGAGCTGCTTCCCAAGCCCTCTTGCACCATCTCCCCCATCAGGCCACAGCTGTGCCTACCTGCGAGGTTGTAGGAATGGGAGAGAGCAAAGTGACAACTGCCTGGCCACTTCCAGCTTCCCCAGCCTCAACTAAAACAGCAAAGCCTTCAGTAGGGCTGTTGGTAACTCCCCCATTCTTTAACTGGGGTGACTGAGTCCAGATGTGAACTGCTCACCTATAGGTGAATGCCCCATTAGGCAGCCCCACAGCAGCTGTGTTGCTGATGCTCCATGGTGCCCTTTTCAGCATGCTTGGACTAATTGGCTCATAATATAGACCAGGAGTCTGCAGCCTCTTTCTCAGTCTAGGATGGCTTAACTGGCCTGCCAGACTCTGGTGTAACTTCTGTACAGAGCAAAGCCTCTCCGTGCTTGCAAATCCAACACCGGCTGCAATAGAAATGAGGCAGAGCACGGTCCCGGCTGGAGCAGGGTCATGCAATCCTGCTGCCCCTCACCAAGAGGAATGGGTGCAGGTCAGACAGCTGATGCTGAGCTGGTGCAATAGATCCCATATCACTAACTATTTCCTGCAGCTGGGAAATGATTTCTGACCAGAGGTCCTGCACATCCTGGCAGACTCCAGCTGTTGTAACAGCTTTGTGTTGTTAGCAACCAGATGTTTTGTTTTATGCTCTGGGAACAGCCTACCAAACAGTCACCACAGGGCTGGAAGAGCACAAAGGTGGCTTAGAGGGCAGCAGCAGCAAATGAGGACTCACACGCTAAGGTATCACAGAGAAACTGTTGTTTTCTTTTCCTAGTTTTTTTGGGGGGAGCAGGGACATCCTGAGTGCCAGATGTTAGGTACAATACCACAGAAAACAGGTTAAATGCCAAAGACAAATATTATTGCACCAGAAAGTTTACTGTAATTTATAGCTTTCATTTTCTTGTTGTGTTTCCTTCCAAAAGGGAAAGTGCTTATTAATTAGATCCACTCGGAGGGCTCAGAAAATGGATACTTAAATATTGTCCATTTTTAAATCAAAGGTTTAAAACATTAAAGATAACCAAAATAAAACAAAAAAAACCGAACAATTACCCCTGGCTTGTCAATACACTGGCGATATAAATATCTTCATCTTATATTTCCATCAGTATTTAGCTAGTTTCCTGTCTGGTTTTTTCATTTCCTGAGCTTACTCTGAGGAAGGGGAAAACATCCGTCCTGCAAAATCGATGCAAATCATTCAGCAGACTGCTTCTGCTTCTACAATATTAAATTTAAATATATTACTATGCAGAGAAACAGCCTGACAGTAAATGTTTCAATGGATGAAGTGTTTTCTTCCAAAGCAGCTCAGAGGTACTCTCACTCAAGTCCTTGGTAAGGATTGATAAGCAGAGTGCTGTGGAAAAGCAGAAATTCGGTTTTTCAGGGATTTTTCTTGCACTCGGTCTTCTGCCTTGAAGCAAGGAATGGCTGACATCTAGTGGCAGCTGCAGCCTGGCCCCAGCTGCTCGAAGCCTCTCCCAGCCCTGCCCTCCACTCGTGTCAAGAAGCAGGGCAGGTACCTCAGCTACTGATGTTGAAGGCTTTGTCCAGCAACACATTCTATCAGCTCTGGGCTATACATTATGGTTTGTACCAAGAGCATCAGCTAAGAAAATCACAAATTCACCCCCTGTTTAATAAATTGAATGATGTTAGAGTAGATATTAGGAAGAAATTCTTCATTGTGGTGGGTGTGAGGCTCTGGAAGAAGTTGCCCAGAGAAGCTGTGGATGCCCCATCCCCGGCAATGTTCAAGACCTGGCTGGATGCATCTTGGAGCAACCTGCTCTAGTGGAAGGTGTTTGCCCATGGCAGTGGGAGTGGAACTAAATGGTCTTTAAGGTCCCTTCTAACTCAAACCATTCAATGATTCTATGATTCTATTAATCTCTCCTGGTTCAGCCCTGGGCTTAAGGCTGGCATGATTACAGGAGGGTTGATAACAGTGCTCATGGAGAAATAAACCAGACCTGATTAAGTAGCATGGCAAAAGGGCCAACGGGACATAGTCCCCTGCTGTGGTGAGGAAAGCTGCTCTTGGCAGAAGCCAGCAGCACATATAGTCCAAAAAGTTTATTTGAAAGATTTAACACAATCTCTTCCTTGGCTTCACACTAGTTATGTTTATAAGAAGAAGCCCTGGGGGACCACAGCAGAAAAGAAAGGCTCCAGCCTGGGCTGACAGCCTTGCTTCTTTCTGCTGCCATTTGGCAGTGGTGGGAAGAGCTGTCAGCCCCAAGAAGAAAGCATAAAGCATTTGCAGAGTCATGCACAAGAGACCTGCAAAACAACTGTACATCTTGAAAGGAGGGGTGCAGGAGAGGCCTGGAGATGGGGAAGAAGCTTCTCAGAGCAGGAGGGAATATATATATGTATGTATGTACGTATGTACGTACGTACGTATGTATGTATGTATGTATGTATGTATGTATTAAACCAAAAAAATCAGCTGAAGAGGCCCCAGCATATGAAAGTTATGACAAAAAATAATACCATTCTACTCACAAAACAATCATGTTGCTACAGCTATAGCCTGAGCAGAGCCAAAAGAAATGAGGAGCCATCCATACCTCCCCTGAGAATGCTTTTATAACCAAAGCAGGGAAAGGGGCAGAGCTTATTCTGAGACACCAGTAATTCTCCCTGTCAGTGTCAGCAGAGCCGGCCATCAGTTTGTCATGGGATGAGCTGGGTTTCACTTTTGCGAGTTCTCAAAGTCCCTCCTCCTAGAGAGCTGCGTCTGCTTCTGCCAGAGCCCTGCCACCTTCGGGATGCACCAGGACACTGCACAGAGCCTCGTCGCTTCTTCCCCATCTTCTCAGAATATCAGGTGCTTTTTACTTATTTCAGCTGTGAAAAGTCCGAGAGACACAGCCACCAGCCCAGTCCTCCTCTTTTGGGTGGCGTTTCCAGTAGCTGCTCTCTGCAGCCCCATGACTCCCTGCCTCAGCCTGGGCTCCCACCAGGAGTTTGCAGTCACAAATCTGCTACTAAATCTAAATCTGCTGCTGAGTGGGGGGAGTGACCCAGACATGGTGAACTGAGAGAGAGTAGGATTCAGCAGCTGCCATGGCTATTGGGACATGAGTGATAAGACATGGGGAAATGGCCTTAAATTTCACCTGTAGGGGTTTAGGTCGTATATTAGGAAAAATTTGTTCAATTCCTCATTGTTAGGCCCTGGAAGAAGCTTTCCAGGGAAAGTCACCATCCCTCAAAGTGTTTAAATGATGTGTAGAAGAACCTAATTTACCTCCAGGGGACAGAAGAAAGACTAAGAAGTCTGGGAATCTGTTGGTCCAAAGAGGCACACAGAGTAGGGTAAGCAGGAGAAGAATCTCCATGTGAATAGATTCACAGCAAAAATGGAACCTGGCACTCCACATCCCATTCCCTGTTCCACCTGTTGGCTCATCACCTCACACCTAAGGAAGGAATCAGAGTTGTTCCACAAGAAGAGGTGAAGAATTTGCCTTTTTGAAAATAGAGTACTGCAAAGTGCTTTCTCCATCCAGCTTCTCTAGTTCATCTATGAATCTAAACACAAATTTGGCTAAGAATGTTTCTTAACTGAAGCAGACACATAGAGAGACATCCCTTAGAATCTCCATTCTCAAGGGTTGGAAAACAAACTGGGCCTGAGCCCCATAGGGCAAAGGCTGGAGGAAGATATCTGAGAGAAGAAAGAAGAGCAGCATGGAAGGTGAGCCCCAAGGTGCCCCAGAGTGTGGGCAGATGTCTGTCTGTCTGTCTGTCTGTCTGTCTCTCGGGAAGAGAAGAGAAGAGAAGAGAAGAGAAGAGAAGAGAAGAGAAGAGAAGAGAAGAGAAGAGAAGAGAAGAGAAGAGAAGAGAAGAGAAGAGAAGAGAAGAAGCTAGCTCTCAGGAACAACAATTAACAGTGAAAACATTGGAAGGGGCATTTCCATAGCCCAAGTGTGTTGCAACACCATGCAAATCCTATTTCTTATTGAAATGGGAACACATGAGGACAGAAATATTCATTTCCATAATTAAAAAAAGACCCAAATGGCTTGGGTTTTTTTTTTTTAATTATTCTACATAATGTGAATATAGCTTTAACTGTATCAACTATCTCAACAACTTTGCTGAACAACTTTAGTGCATCAGCAGGAAAAAATGGATTTCCCTTCAATTTGTCTTCAAAATATTCTGATTTTGACTTTTGATTCAAAGTATTTCAACCTAAATTTTGTAGCAATAAATACAATTTGATTGATTACTCCCAAAATATTGACTCTGAAATGGAGTGTTTGCTCAGTGATCAGTCTCAGAGCACTCTGAAATAGTGGAGGGAGGGGGGACGTGTTTACTTACTTGATGGATCCCAGACTGGCGAGCAGGAGGAAGGTCTCAATAAATCACTTCTGACATTAACCTTGCAGAAACAAATTCCCAAGAGTATTTGTGTTAGTTCTGCTGTTGGTGCTTGTGCAAACACTGCTGGACAGAATTCACATCGCTATCTTTCTTTGACTAGTTTTGCAAACAAAAGTTCCTCATTGGCATTCGAGACAAAGTCAATGGAAAAGGCAGGGATGAAGGAAAATGCACTTTGTTTATTCAAACAACAGTTAGTGTGTCATTGGAAATATGCATGAAATATTCATAACAGATTTTGGAGTTGATAAAAAAAATAAAAGAAAGCATGCACTGGACTAAGCAATGAAACATCACTTCTATTTGTGTAAATAAGCAATATGTTCCAGATACCCAGCATCTGGCATCTGTATTTTTTGTATGTGTAATTTTTAGTGTTAACTTTATATGTACCACAAAATTTTCTTTGCATTCATTTTTTTTTTGCACAATGACTATGAGATTAAGATAGTACAGGACAGAACTTCTTGGTCTTGAGAAAGAGTTGGAAATGAAAATGTCTGTTTCTGAGGACAGGCACAATAAGTTGTTAAGTAGCAAGTGCGGGGTACATATGTATGTGTGTGTATATATATATGTATATATGTATATATATATGTGTGTGTGTGTGTGTGTGTACATATATTTGTGGGTTTAATTTAAAGTTCTCCTAACGATAACCTCGTGCAGAATTGCCATACCCTCTTCAAAGACACCAAACCTCTAACTGCAGAAGCTGTAGTCAAACCTCATTCTGCAGGGATAGGGACCTGCTTGCTTTTGTGCCAGTGGGAACTGTGGTGCCTGAAGTCTGCCAGCACACGGAGATGTCACAGCACCATCACAAACAAATGGCTGAGACCTGACACCCCACTGATGTCCCACCGGTGCCAGAGCCGGACTTTTAAGTGCTGTTTCTAAACAGAAAGTCTTTTCCAACAGTGAGGCCTGAAAACTCATTTTTAGATCCTGAAGACAAGCAGAATGCTTCCCAGACTTTGGATGTTCTAGAGATCCACCACGGAGCTCAGAATTCCTACTTCTTTTTACTTCTTTTGTTGAGAAAAAATAGGATGGTTGTGCTTCTTCCACTAAATTAAGTAGGAGGCTCTGAGCTCCTTTGAGGGGCAGGACTTTTGCCCTGTTCACTGCTTAGGGAAGGCTGTGGGTTGGAGTCTCCCAGACTGTGATGTGCTGCTCAGGCCCATATGGTGATGGGGAGCTGTCCATAGGACTGAGGATACTCCTGCTGCGGTAGCTCCGCTCTCTCCCCACTCTTCTGCATGGTCCTGCCAGGCACACCCCACATGCAGGGCCATCACCCAGGGTTTCTGCCTGCTGGAACACCTACCCAT